GCCCGCCCCGGCCCAGCGCGTCCCGCGGGCCGCCCGCGCCCACAGCAGCGGAAGGAGGCGGAGGAGGAGGGAGCCGAGCCGCCCGTGCCGCCCGCTCCGCTCCGCTCCGTGCCGCCAGAGTGCCCCGGTCCCGGTCCCGGTCCCGGCCCGCCGGCCGCGCAGGTAACGCGGAGCAGCAGCAGCAGCGAGCGAGCGAGCGGAGCCCGGCCGGGCGATGCCGCGGGCCGCCCTGCGCTGCTGCCGGGGCCGCGGGCGCTGCSAGAGCCCCGCGCGGCGCTGCCACTGACAGCGGGGCTGCCACCGCCGCCGCGCCGCCGACTTTCCCCTCTTTGTGTTTATTCTGCCGCTCTCGAGGTACCGCTATCCTCCTCCCCAGGCACCGCGGGCAGGTCCTGGCTCACTCTTGGATTTTTTTCTTTTTTTTGCTCTCCCGGCTCGATTGCCTGTCTGAGAGTATATTTGTTTTTAATAAAAGAAAAAGTCAATCCGGTTCGTATCACATTCCCCGTTCCGTGGAGTCCGGTTTATTTCTGCGGTTAARAAAAAGTTGACTCCCCCTCCTCCAGTTTTATTGACATTGAGGATGAAGAAGGATTTGCAAATGAAAGCGCCTTGAAATACAGCATCTTTTGGAGAGAGCTCTGCAGTTCTCCAGCCCGTTAAATCTCGAATTCCACCCTTTGCCCCTGCTGAATCCACTGTTCTGCCCTTTACTCTCCGGGGTAAAAAACCAAACAACAACAACAAAAACCCGAGGGGAGAAAGAATACCTTTGGCAGCAGGGAAGCTTTGTGTGACTGACCCAACGAGCCACAAGTGTCCAGTTTCTGAAAAGAAGAAAACCCTTTTGTCTTCAGCAGATCAGTAGGTAAGAGATGTGCTCATACTGCAAGGGACTCTGCATTCTTTCTTCAGCCTAAACCTGGGAGTTAGACTGGCTCTCTGTCAGCTTTTGTYCATCACTTCTCTCTCCTGTAAAGTTTACTTTTCATCTCGCAAAATTCTTGCAAAGAAAAAAAATTACACTCACCCACCTATTTCACCAGTGGCAGTAAATGTAAATTGCCAGAATGAATAGTGATGTACTTGTGTGTAATTGGATTGAGTAAAACTCAGTGCAAGTCGCTGAAGTGGGTTTGTGTCAGGCTGTGTTTGAAAGCAGCCGTTTCTTGTGGTGCCCTTTTCTTTTGAGAAAATAATTGCAGTCATTGTGCTTGTAATCCACGTGTTGAGATTGTCTTTGCGGGTCGTGCTCCACAGAGGAGCACGTATGTGCATTCACATGTGCATTTATGTGTCACACGTGCAAACAGGGCTGCCACCATGGGCCGATTCCTTGTTTCACACTGGAATTTGTTTTACATTAAGTGCTTCACTGCTGTGTCACAAGGTGTAAAAGTGTTGCACCCATAATTAACAGGCTTTAACAGATTATTGAACATGGCGAGGAACACGCTTGGCACTGTGCAGAGCGAATATGAGGAGATGTTTTCTTTGTTTTGTGATTTTTTTTTCCCGAAGTAAGGCTGAAAACGCAGCGGGGACATGTGCACATAATAACTGGATGGAGGCCCAGTCTCTGTACAGGGAAACATATTTTGCAGAATACTCCTTTCTGTAGGGGCCAAGTGCTGAGTGTGTCCTGGTTTACAAGTGATAATACCACAGTGAATGTCTCATTCTCCTTCTCCCCCAGCTCAGTACCCACATTCCTCCTCYTTCTCCTCCTTCTCCTCCTTCCTTCTTTGCTACCAGCCATTTCTGCAAGGGAAGGACCTGTGGAATTCGGTGTGGCTGGTGGCAGGACTCCTTGTGTCAGGGAAGATTGTGTTGTTCCCTGTGGAATCACACAGCATCCCCCAGCAGGAGGAACTGCCTGTTCACGTGGCAACACCAGCCTTGACATCAAGCTCTTCCCCACTGCGTGGGTTTTTCCTGTGGATGATACAGGAAATGCTACATGTTAGTCTGTCCTGCTGCCTGTTCCTCTTTCTTTTTTTAGGGTTTTTTTTTTCCTTCCTCTTCCCTGGAGGGATTTTTGTGGGAAAAGCTAGTGGAAAAGGTGGGGCAGCAGGGCAGTGTGGTCTGAGCTGCTGGAGTCTCTGGGGAGACAGCTGGGGTGCCCCAGTCTCTGCACCTTGAGAGGGCACTGGGGCAGGTGACTGACCAGGATCCATCCTGGTGCACAGGGCAGGGTAGTGTTTTTGGCTGCTGTCTCRCATTTTTTGGCTACCCTGGACTGTTTCTGGGGACTGAACCTTTCTGCCAGGTCAGTGTGGGAAGGCAAGAGCCCTGTTCTCGAGCTTTCCCTGCACCCTCGTGCTGCTGCCGTGTGAGTGATGGGCAGCATCACGTCTGTTTTCCAGGGCTGCTATGAAAAGTGATCCCCACCATCAGGACCATGACCCTGTTAAATCTCTGGGTCAGACTTTCACCCGGATTCCCTCAGTGGCTGCTCCTTGAGGGAGCAGGGTCACGATCTGACCCTGGAAAAATTTGTCCCGTAGTTGAAGTTGCAGGTTCATCTGGGGCACCTGGTGTCCCTCTCTTTTACTTCCAGGACACTTATTTGCAACTTAACYCGGTCCTTAAAAGGTTCCTGGGAGCCACAAAGACAACATAGAATGATTTATTTTTCTTGAGGAAGGGGTGGGATTTCCAGATGGAGGGAATGGGGTGCCTGCTCATCCCACAAGCTCTTTGTCTTTCTGATTCTGGAGGAGTTTTGCAGGCAGCGCTGCCACCCTCGGGAGGGGGCTGGAGGCAGAAGGGAACTGGCCAGTGTGGAATGGGCAGAATGGGATATGGGGTTGGAGTTTGCAGTGGCACTTACTGAAATTGTGCTGATAGCGTGGTTCACCACCTTGCCTGTTCCTGGTGCCATTAACGTGGCACAATCAMAGCATTCCCCTTTCCTGGAGCACACTTTGGACTAAAGCTTTGTAGTAGAGAGTGCCCCAGCTGGGCCGCAAGGATTTCATATGCCTGTGATACAAATGTATAAAATTCTCTGCAGCCTTTAATACAGCTCAAAGGGCAGCTGATTTAGATGTGCCTGAGTGTTGAGGTCAGGAGATCACATTCCAGAGGTTACTCGATGAAAGTGCTTCAAGAGGGCATAGCATAAATATTTGATTCATATAGAAAGGATTGGTGCAAATCCTTTTGTTCCTTCCCCAAAGATGTTCTGGAGGAAAAGCGCTGTAAGCAGGAAAAAAACCCTCACCGAACAGCAGAAAACTTGTAACTTCTTTGTGCTAGAGGAAGTTGGATGGTAACATTGTGCATTATTGCTGAATTCCACTAAAATTCTTCTCGTGGGATACACCGTCTTGSAGAACAGTGAAGGGAACTAATGTTTTTAAGTGTAAAATGACTCATAATGCATGGGCTCTTGAGGTTGGGTTTAACATTGTATGCAAACATTGCCAGCTGGTGGGGATCTTTTGGGATAAATAAGAACTATATTTGTACAAGAAGGCTTGAATGATGCATTTCAGATGCATCCTGATTAGCATAAGCCATTCACTTTGTGAAAGAATAGCCAGAATCCCAGAAGTGGAGATAATTTAATAGTTCTCTTGTTCTCTTTAGGCTGTCTTGCATCAGCAGACTGACCAGTCTTTTTGTTTATTTAGAAATAAGGTTGCRTTGCTTTGCTGCCACATTTTTCTAACCATGACAGTGAAATTGAGAATTTGCAGCTCTCAAGTTCTCAAAGCATATGTGCTTCCCCCACTTCTAGCCCTTCSTTTTGTTTCCAGATGAGTGCAATGTGTTTTATAATTTTTTTTGGTGATTATTTTGATAGAACAACTTGCACCATTTCATTCTTTCTAGGGCCCAGCACAATGATGCCTTGGTCCACAGCTGAGCTCACTGTCACTGCAATGAATGAACAGCTCAAGCAAAATCTGAGCTCATTAAAACTTTATTTTTTAACAAGGAGCAAAATCTGTGCGTGGTTTAGATTGTTACCGTATCAATGTATACACAGAAATAAGTCTTTAATTTTAGGATTATCARCAGTCCAAGTGTGTGTTAATGTGTAAATACTTCTGGCAGTGAAAGAATTTGTCTGTTTATACCCCTTGTGGCCAGAGCTCCTTGTGCAGTTTTGGCTTTTCTTCCTGGTGGCTTTTAAAGAGCTGCAGAGCTGTGACCTGCAGGGAAGACAAAACCCACTGTAATAAAGTTCTTACATGTTCAGAGTGTGTATTCAGCTAAAACTGGCTCCAAACACCTGTAAATGGTGAGATTCTCTGTTTGGTGCAGAACAGAACGTGTGTTGGGTTCTGTTCTGAGTTAAAAAGAAAAAGATGACCTTGTTCTTGGCAAGAGGTTCTTGGATTAATACATGTTCCCACTTTGGGCTGAAGTGTAAATGCTTTCAGAATAAAGTAAGATGCCTGTTTTCCCCCATCTGGCTGTTGGTGCACATTCCCATATTTCAAACTATTTTCAGACACTCACTTTTGAAGAAGTCCTCTCAAAAGGTTCCTAATCAAAGCAGCCTTATGGATTTTTTTTTTCTCCTTGCTATTGTGGACGATACAGTGAGAGTGGAATGTCCTTGGTTGCCAATGTTTGCTGCTAGGTATCGCCCTTCCATGGAGACCAAGTGTTTATAAAAGTGTGAGAACAGCCATTCTTGGGGATTGGCAATAAGGTCTGGGGCTCTCTTTCTCCTCTTCTGTCCACTGAAACACAAGAGAGGACTTGGTTGCTCATAGAAGTGTTCCAAACTGCCTATTGCTGTGGTTATACACTTTCAGGAAGCACTAGAGGATTTGTCAAAGTGATTTAGTCCATTGTGTTGAAACTGGGCCACAACCCGTTTCTCTAAGCSTGTTGATTTCAGGAATTCTCTTATTTTCTGATGAGCAGTTACTTTCTAGGTTAGGTTTCCACATACCCTGGTGCCTGATCTTCTCTCTGCAGGTTCCCCACATGTGGTAGCAGCACAGTTTTGTAGACTTAAATCACTGTCTTTTATGAAAGAGCAGGCACATACCTGCCCTGTGAGTCCAGTTGGGCTGCAGGAGCTGCTCACTTGTTAAACCCTTTTATCCAGGAGAGAGTATATTCYCAAACAGCCCTGGAATGCAGTGCTGGCCACAGGAAGAGCTTCCCAGTGCAGCCTCCACAGCCATCCCTTCAGCTTTTGCAAAAGGATTGGTTCATGCTTTGGACARATGTGGTCCTGGAATTGTGTCTGTGTGAAAGTAATGGGCTGGATRGAGAGCTCTAAAGTCAGCAGATGTCCAAATCTTGCACATTACCTGGCTCTCCAGGGTGGCCTTGAATGTAATCTTCAAGGCAGAAAAAATACCTTAACAGCTTTGGGGAATAATARGTGATATAATAATAACTCCTAGGAGCAGTTAGTTTTTAAACATGCAATATAATCTTTTCTKTCTCACCTACTATGCTTGTAAGTGAAAGGACTTTCACTGGATAAAATTTGTGTTTGCAGGGACACTTGGATGTAATTTTAAAAGTAAGAATAGATTTGAAACTTACCTTTGTGTAAATGACCATTCAGGGCAAACCAGACATCTGATGTCAGCGGGAGGTCAGTGAATAAGCAATGAATAGGAATGGAAAAGGAAATGTCATGAATTAAAAAAAAAAAACCAACCCTGAGAACAAAATTCAAAGGCCTGTGGAAACAAACTTCTCAAAGCTTTATAATCTTGTCTCAGTAGCATGGAGAGGTTTGTGTGAAGTGCTGAGCTTAGGTGCAGGAAGAACGCAGGAGTGTCCTGTGGTGCCTGGGATGGAGCTGTGGCCATGGCTGCTGGTGGTGGTTGGATGTGTCACCCCTGTCACCAGCAGCTCCTGCAGGGCTCTGCTGGCCCTGGACAA